AAACAAACAAAGTATATCTATAGCCAAAACTTTTTTTTCCCCCTAACAGAGTGGTGAGGGTTTAGTACCCCTGTCAGATTTGTATTGTGTTCTATCTGCTAGGGAGATCAAGTTTTTCAATTTGATCAGGAGACCACTGTCACATGGAGTGAAAATGATGCAAAATTACAAAGTTTGTAGCGCTTCCCTCTTATTTCCTGTTGTGTCTACAGTACAAAAAGTAAAAGGAAACCCCCCACCAATGGGACACAAATGTAAAAAAAATCCAAGATTCAATAATTTCTCTACTCTATCAAAAATAAAAGGTTTTTACTTACAATATACGTATTCTATGCTAATATTTAGATCAGTGGGGCACGTGAAATGTGTAAGTAGAAAGGACTTTCTGCATTAATTGTTCTTCATCATCAACAGGACAATTCAAAGCTTAGTGAAAACTTGCTAACCTGCAGGGACCTGTCAGAGTTGTGACTTACGTTATCCACTTCTAGTCCTGGCCAATTCTGACATTCCTTTCCTACATGTAAAAACAATTGATTTTTTTTGCCAGAAAACTACTTAAAACTCCCAAAACATTATATATTTTTGAAGCTGAGGCCCTAGAGAATAAAATATTGGCTTTTGCAATTTTTTATGTCACACGGTATATGTGCAGCAGTTTTTCAAATGCAATTTTTTTTTTTTAGAAATAAATACACTTTAATGAATTTTAATACACAAAAATACACAAAAATACACAATATCCATTTTTTTGTAAAATATAAACAATGACATTGCATGAGTAAATAAATACCTAACATGTTCATGCTTTACTTACAAATCTCCGTAAACAATGCTTTAAAAGCCTGTACAGGTTACCAGTTTGGAGTTACATAGGAGGTCTGTGCTAGAAGTAATAATTTCACTCGGCAATACCATGCACGGAAAAAGGAAAAAAAAAAACCTGCGCTTGTTTCAAACTAACATGTAAAGCGGCTTGCACAATACGCCGATACCGGATACTTATAAAATATTCTCAAAGAGTAAAACGCATATAGGAAAGTATGTGTATCATACAAATAAAATATTACACTCTAAAGTGTTTCACCTGCTAAAAAACAATAATAATAAATAATAATAATGAATAATACCTTACATGTGTGGTGCGACTGCTGTTTACTTTTACACGTGGAACCGACGCATGCGTTCGGCATCGCAAGCAAAGACAGTGGAACGAGGGCACTTTGTGTTTTCTTACTTTTTTTTTATTTTTACGCTCTTTAAAAATAATTGAAATCACTTTTATTGCTATCACAAGGACTGTAATCATCCTCTTGTGATAACAATAAGCAGTGACAGGTCCTCTTTACCGAGACATATGGGGGTTTATTTACTAAAGCTGGAGAGTGCAAAATCAGACTCACTTCTGCATAGAAACCAATCAGCTTCCAGGTTTCATTGCCAAAGCTTCATTGAACAAGCTGAGGTTAGAAGCTGATTGGTTTCTATGCAGAAGGGAGTCTGATTTTCGACTCTCCAGCTTTAGTAAATAAACCCCATGGGGTCACAGGATTGTTTTGATCAGATGCTTTCACAAGCTAAAAAACTAGCTTTTAAACAAAGAACAGAAAACGGAATGCCATTATACTGTATCCACTGTAGTATTTGCATATACTGCAATATGTGTCAACCAAAGACCCCTGTTTTTTCATTGAAAAGTTTGCTAGAAAGGGTATATAGCTCTTAGATTGTAAACTCTATCAAGCAGGACCCTCTGATTCCTCTAGCACCAAATTGTATTGTAACTGTACTGTCTGACTTCATATTGTAAAGCACTGCGCAAACTGTTGGTGCTATATAAATCCTGTATAATAATAATATAGCAGTGTGCAGAGGGCTCATCCAGAATTTCTAGTGTTAACATGCGGTCATCTGATTGATTATATACATGAATTAGCTATTGGGATTTGAGCACAGGTGTATCTTATTTCAGTAGAACAATTCATACATTTTTGCTGTGCACAGGATTAGAACCAGGGCTGAATGAGGATGTGCCCCAACATTATTTCCACAGAATAAAACCTAAATATCTGTAGATCAGCATACCAGGATGTTTTTGTGTTTTTTTTTGTCTGTTGCAATGAGGCAAAAAAAGAAAAATGCCCCTTTGACACTCCCAAGAAGCTCCAACCCATTTAATGCTAAGAATAGTATGGACTGAAGAAAACAAGTGAAAAATGTTGATAGAGTTGGCAATTTACAACACTGGTTAAACTGATTTAACATAATTATTTTCTTTAATATTATCAACAGAAACCTCTCTCTCTTGATCACCCTTTACTCCTACAAATATTGCTCTCTTTCTCTTTGTACATTTGCACTATTGCTGTTTATTTGCTAGATGTCTTAAAAGCCAAAATTAACTTTAAAATACTCTCCCAATGAAGACTAGAGGCATTCGTGGCAACACAATGAACAGGCATGTTCCACTGTTGTCACATCAAAAGTCCTGAGAAAATGCTGTTGGTGTGTGAAATGCATACATTTAGACAGGATAAAGGTATAAAAGACAACAGATCAGAAATCCAGGGATACAAAAAAATAAAAAATAACAAAGTTAAACTGTATGTTATTCAAAATATAACATAATTTATCATACCCTGAATTTAAAGTGGAACTGCACTCAATCAACATTTATTATTTTTAATCCTTATGCTACTAGCATTGGTAAATAGATACGAACATATATCATATTTACTTGTTCTAAACTATTTTTTTTATGTTTCTTCAGTTACTTCCTGGTTTCTTGCCTAGGCAAATTATGTCATGTAAGAGGAGGAGTTTTCTCAGCTAAGCAAGCCCTCCTGCTTGTAAGCCTGAACTAAGGGCAGATGGATTCCAGGAAGTCAATGCTACATGAATCAGAGAAAGAGAACCAGAAATGCTACGAGGGTGTTTTTTCAATGTGATTTCTCAGCAAAGTAAAGCATGGAGACATGGATGGGTGGGTTTGGTTTGAATATTAAAAATTAAATAGAACTTTTGCACTGTGGTGCTCAGATGCAGTGTAGTTCCACTTTAAGGTGTACGTTTGCACCTTAGCAACCCCTTAGTCTAGTTTGAGATCAACCATTTACCTGCAGTTGTCAATATTTTTACTTTGTTGCTGGTTATTTGGCTAAACTTACTTGTATAAGTATGACACAAATATTTTTTTCTACAACAAAAAATGTCGAGATTTGACGTATTTTTTTTTTAAATTCAGCCTTAGTTAAGAATTTACACTAGTAAACACTTTAATGAAAGCACAAAATATTTGACATTTTCAAAATGGCACACAAATAGATGGTTCTGCAGCCTGCTATTTCACAACATATAATAGTCTCTTAAACGCTTTGTTTATGCCTTTAAAAGGCAATATCCCATTTCTGATTTTAAACCTGGCAGAAAATAAAATTCAAATATCAGCTAGAAAACGCTTTTTTTTTTTTTTTTAGAAGCTATTATTTTCTAGGTGACTTTTTTGTTTATTTCTATTTTTCTATCCATCAATATTTAAACTTTTTTTTTCATTTTTATCCATTTGATCATTATTTTTTAGCCTTTAGTTTGTATATTACTTTGGAGTGTTCTGCACCAGAATCAGAATTGTAGTGTGATTTTAAACAGGACAAGTAATACAATAAAACATTTACTTTTTTTTTTAACTGTTATTGATCAATGTAGAAAAAAAGTATTTTTTTTAAATTTGGTTAGTTTTTTGACTATATATTGCATCAAAAATAAAATACATTTTGGAAGACATCACCAAAAGCCTTATTTGTACTAAAAATATTAGGAAATGTTAGCTTAAATGATGAAAAAAATTATTCTTGAACAAACGGGCCCCAAGCAGAAAACTAAAAATTGCTCTAGGCCATAAGAGCTATAAGGTGTAAAAGCTGAGTTACACCCCGGTCACATCAGGTGTGACTTGGCATGTGATTTGCATGCCATGCGACTTGCAAATCGTATGCCAAGTTGCACCCTATTGTCTGCTATTAGAGTCAAATTGGTCCGGTTTTGACTTGGTCGGAGCCACACCGATTTCTAAAGTAGTGCATGCACTAATTTTGGTTCGATTTGCATAGACATCTGTGTCAGATATCTTGCAAATCGCACCTCAAATCTTCAAGTCACCCCTACTTTGAAATCGTGTGACTTCACTGTAAGTCGTACAATTTCAAAATCGGCTTTGATTTGACCGGGGTGTTAGTGAACGACCTTAAGCTGCTGCAAACTCACTATTCCTTTGAATACTAATGAGTTATTGCACAAAAATTCTGTGGATTTTCAGCCTAACACCCCAGTCACATCAAAGCTGATTTTGAAATTGTACGACTTACAGTGAAGTCGCACGATTTCAAAATCGGGGGAACCTGCTGATTTCATTGCAATTTGCAAGACATCTGACACAGATGTATATGCAAATTGCAACAAAAGTAGTACATGTACTACTATAGAAATCGGTGCGGCTCCAAACAATAGGGTGCAACTTGGCATACGATTTGCAAGTCACCTTGCATGTAAATTGTATGCCAAGTCACACCCGATGCGATCGAGGGCTAAGTGACACAATCCCTCTCACAACCTTCCTCCCTACAGGACAAGGCTATAATATATACATATATACACACACACACACATATATATACATATACACCTACACACATACATATGTATACATATGTATACGCACACACAGTGTGTGTATATATATATATATATATATATATTTTTTTATGTATACAGTGGCTTATTAAATTGTGTTAATACTGCACTTAGAAGGCACCTCTCTCTCTCTCTCTTCTTTTTTATACATTATCTATATAGAGTTGGCATACTCTGGGATGGCTGCCACCTAAGCGGTTATACAGTAATGGACATTTATTGACTGTTATGGACTTATGTGCAATTACAGGATATGAGCCTCTAGTGCGTTGAGATTGTTTGTTACATTGTATAAAATCAAGCACCTAGAAATGGAGACGGCTTCTAAAAATATTTGTGAGCCCTGGATCACACTGATGTGGTGCGGCACATCACTTGTGCTTCGCACAGGAACTGCATTCCTGCGCAAATCATATGCAATTTCTGTGCGGTGCATTTTGAACCATACATTTTGTATGGCTAAAATCAAACTGCATCTGCACCAAAATAGTGCAGGACCCTTTTTTTTGTCTGCACCATAATCGGATCCCATGGGTGTGAATAACCATGCGATCTGCTTCTGCACATCACACTGCATTTTGAGAACCAGTTTTGGGGTGTTGTTAACTTAAAATACACACCCGCAGCGGTTCGCATTAACGGGATGCAATTATGATGAGGTTTGAAAATTGCACAGAAACCGGTGCAAATTTTGCACTGCATCAGTGTGAGCCAAGGTTGAAAGAATGGGTCACTCTTTCAACCAGTGAATACCATGATAGGTTGCCACCTGTGCAATAAGTCTATCCATGAAATTTCCTTGCTACTAAATATTCTACGGTCAACTGTTAGTGGTATTATAACAAAGTAGAATCAACTGGGAACAGCAACTCAGACATGAAATGATAGGCCACGTAAAATGACAGAGCGGGGTCAGCGCATGCTGAAGCGCACAGTGCGCAGAAGTTGCCAACTGTCTGCAGAGTCCATAGCTATAGACTTCCAGATTTTAGCCTGCAGATTAGCACAACAGTACGTAGAGAACTTCATGGAATGGGCTTCAGCTGCATCCAAGCCTTACATAACCAGTACAATGCAAAGCGTCAGATGCAATGGTGTAACGCACACTGCCACTGGCCTCTAGAGCAGTGGAGACATTTTCTCTGGAGTGATGAATCACGCTTCTTTGTCTGGCAATCTGATGGACGTGTCTGGGTCTGGTGATTGGGTTTGGCGATTGTCAGAACGGTACTTGCCTGACTGCACTGTGCCAAGTGTAAAGTTTAGTGGAGGGGGGATTATGGTGTGGGGTTGTTTTTCAGGGGTTGGGCTTGGCCTCTAAGTTTCAGTGAAGGGAACTCTTAAGGCATCAGCATACCAAGACACTTTGGACAATTTCAAGTTCCTAACTTTGTGGGAACAGTTTGGGGATGGCCATTTTCCTGTGCCAACATGACTGCGCACCAGTGCACAAAGCAAGGTCCATAAAGACATGGATGAGTGGGTTTGGGTGGAGGAACTTGAGTCCTAACCTCAATCTGACAGAACACCTTTGGGATAAATTAGAGCAGATACTGAGAGCCAGGCCTTCTTGTCCGACATAAGTGCCTGAGCTCACAAATGCACTTATGGAAGAATGGTCAAACATTCCCATAGACACTCCTAAACCTTGTGGACAGCCTTCCCAGAAAAGTTGAAGATGTAGTAGCTGCAAAGGGTGCGCCAACCCAATATTGAAGCCTACGGAATAAGACTGCAATGCCATTAAAGTTCATGTGTGTGTGTAAAGGCAGATGTCCCAATACTTTTGGCAATATAGTGTATATGCACACTGTACGTATTAAAAAATATGTAAATGTATTATTAATATTACAGGTACATATATTTATTATTAATATTACAGGTACTTATATAGAGCCATCAATTTATGCAGCGCTTTACATGTATATTGTATATTCACATCAGTCCCTAATCCTCAAGGGGAAAACAATCCATGGTCCCCAACTTACATTCATACATACACATAATAGGGCCAATTTAGACAGGATCAAATTAACCTACCAGCATGTCTTTGGAGTGTGGGAGGAAACCGGAGTTCCCGGATATATTCTATATATATATATATATATATATATATATATATAATTTATCCCTTCAAGCCTAAAACAAATCAGGTTCATAGAATACAAAGCGTTCTGTGGCAAGTGACAGAATAACTTGTGCGTAAATAAGTTGCAGCACCAGAAATATAGTGCTAGCTGTACTTTTTGACATTGGAGAAACTATGATTTTTACAGTATACAGCAATGATTCAGACCAAAGATAAACAATTTCAACATTTAGGCCAATGTTGTAGAGGTGCAAAATGTCTCCTCAGCAAAAGCAGTCTCATGGCCAATTATAAGCTCCTCCACCCCAATCCTTTTACAAAATTCCCAACTGCCCATTTACTTGCCCCAAGTGTCCCATGACACCTCTGACACTGGTTTAATAACCAGATTCAACCCCTTATCGGATCAATTCAGACTCCTCCTCATTTGTCTATATTTGTAGCCAAAAGCCCAGCCTGTAAACCTTTATGTCATTGCTCCTCCCAGGGGAATACACCAGCTTGAGATGCTTGCTCTCACAGTTGGCACCAGTATGCTTCAACTGGCAAGCAAACCCCCTGCTACAAGGATTTCACTGTAGGCCCTTCAGAGTCCTCTGGCTTTGTTGGCAGAGAGCAGCTGCCTGCCTTACCACAGAGCTGCTAAACTAAACTGCCTTGCATTTGAATGTCCCTTGCTCTGCATCAGCCTTGACCATAGGTTGAGATAAAAAAGAAAAATACCATTTTCCTTCATATAATGATTAGGCAACAATCAGATCAAAATACCTTATCAGGTTTATGCTCAGGCTCAGGTTTCTCTTCAACATACATGCTGAAAAATACCACAAACCCCTTTGTCCACTCCATAATCCCCTTACAGCCCTTTTCCAAACCGATCTCCAGCAGCTTGGCTTGTACCGCTTCTCTTGTGAGATTAAATATTTCTTACATACTTGCCCCCCCCCCCCTTTATCAACATAACTGTCTTTTTGGGTAAGTGAGCATGTGTAGATAATAATAACACTGCATAAATGTCCTTGGAACCCAACCACTTTTACTTTCCTTTCGTTAACCTCTGCATCACACTCCTTCTCTAACCCGTTGTTCCCTTTCTTTGTCTTGGATTTGAAAATGTTTTAAACTGCCCCATAAACTCTACTGTTGGGAGCATCATCATAAAAATTTGATATATCTGATTTAGATTTGGAAGTGACCTCGCCAAGTTATATCAATTTATTCTCATCCTCCTCCTTGCTGGCTGAACCACTCTCTCACAATGGCTATCCTTACATCTGCTCAGCCATTGCCTCTAGTCCTGTGTCTCTGCAAGAAAAATACAAAGAACCACAGTATTCACCTCCTGGCCAATTATTAAGCATGGTGCACTGTACCTGCTGGGCAAACTGGCTGTTTTTCCCCCCTTGCATTTGTTTTTATCAGATGATAAATTCCATATGGTGTTTATATTTTCCTAACTGGCTATGGTTCTTCCTTGTCACAAAGGAAACCCAGGCTGAATGTTTAGAGGCCCTTTGCCATTTCCACACGACCCAACTATTATCAGACTCTGCCTTATGTAAAAATCCCCTTTATAACTATTAGAGGGAACGGGCCAAGGTTCTCCCCCCTAGACTGCCATTGAAACTATTGCTCTTCCCTCATTTTGGCTACCTGAATCAAAAACATTCCACGCTGAAGCCAAACAAATGAAGGGTATCATGTCCGCTTGGCTCAGCACCCCTATGCCTGAAAAAGCTTTAATGCTGTATGCCCTTTTAGCTGCATCCCTTTCCATATGTGTGCTTTTGTCTGCATACATCAAACATGCTCCCCGCAGCAGAAAAGTGCCTAGTGTTTGATGAATCAAGGGGATCAACCGTTTTTGAATCTCAAACGCCACTGTGTGAATGGCAAATTCCACCGAAAAAAAAAAGAAAAACAAATGGTTTGGGACCCCTCTTGTTCACCCCCTGTGAACCAAGGATTTAACTAATGTTAGCAATGCAGGATTCAAACTCACAATCTGGCACTCAAAGAACCAGCTCCTGACACTCTGAGTCACAAGATTAGCTCATCTACCAGTGTATCCAGACACAATACATCCCGAGCTTCCTGTGTGCAGCAATCAATCAAAACAAAGCCTCCTTCATGCTAAATAAATTAATAAATTAAAGGATGTCCCTGCTGCCTCTGTCTATTGAAACCCTGGCCTCACCACCTTCTTCCCATAAGTGCGGGTCAGTCGTTCCAAGCAAGAAAGCACCAACCTTTTCCCATCCTCTGCTTTCTCTGCCTGGGGCCCATGCATCCTCTCATGCCTTTCTAAATGACACCTGCCTAGGCCCACTATTTTGTTGGCTCTACATAGCTTACCTGTGGAGCCTTGCATTCACAACCACCCAGGAAATATGGCTCCTGTCATCCACTTCACCCTGCGTCACGCCAATGCCTACTTACCGCTCATAACACCTGGAGCCCACTGTTGTCAATGACCATGTAGTTAATCACTGAAATATAAGGAAAGTGGGGCACTCAGCTTGTTTTCCAAGTATTTATTGTAGCTTCTGAAAAAGGCTATAAAACATTTGGTTTATGATCATTTATTGTTGATCTCCACACTTTGTCAAGGCATCTAAGAAAGTGTGGGATTTTTGCAGGTATCTGAGGTTTAAGCTTTTTTTTGTTCAATTATTTTTAGCCAATGGAAAGCTAGTTACTGGGGATAAAAAAAAAGTGTGATGTGTACATTTTTGTGCATTTTCAAGGCAATCCCACTGAAGTCTATTGGGAACAAAAACACGTTGAAGCTTATAGCTCAAAAGAAGCTCATACTTTTTCTGTTTCAATCATTTTTTATTGTTTTCAAACAGAACATGACAAGCACTAGTTTTGCCCACATAGGGGCTGATATAAACAATCTCATAATAGTACAGGCACATGTTGTCATTAACAGAATCAAAAACGTCAAGAGAGAAAATAAACTCGTGTACAAAAAGGACCAGTGATGGTGTAAGGATACAACAAGCACCAGTAAGGCTGCCTTTGTTGCATACTTACAGTCATGCCCGAAATTTGTTGGACACCCTTGATATTTCTCCAGGAAATCATGTATTTCTCACGAAACGTATTGCATTAACACATGTTTTGCTATACACATGTTTATTCCCTTTGTGTGTATTGGGACAAAACAAAAAAAGGGAGGAAAGAAAGCAAATTCGACATAATGTCACACAAACCTCCAAAAATGGGCTGGACAAAAGTATTGGCACCCTTTCACAACTGCGGATAAATAAGAATGTTACAAGCATGTGATGCTCCTGTAAACTCCACCTGGGGCAAGTAACAGGTGTGGGCAATATAGAAATCACACCTGAAAGCAGATAAAAAGGAGAGACGTTCACTTAACCTTTGCAATTGTGTGTCTGTGGTCTGTGCCACACTAGCATGGACAACAGAAAGAGGAGACGAGAACTGTCTGAGGACCTGAGAAACCAAAATTGTGGCAAAATATCAACAATCTCGTCAAGGTTACAAGTCATCTCCAGAGAACTAGATTTGCCTTTGTCCACAGTGCGCAACATTATCAAGAAGTTTGCAACCCATGGCACTGTAGCTAATCTCCCTGGTCGTGGACGGATGAGGAAAATTGATGAAAGATTGCAACGCAGAATAGTCCGGATGGTGGATAAGCAGCCCCAAACATGTTCCAAAGACATTCAAGCTGTCCTGCAGGCTCAGGGAGCATCAGTGTCAGCGCGAACTATCCGTCGACATTTAAATGAAATGAAACGCTATGGCAGGAGGACCCAGGAGGACCCCACTGCTGACACAGAGACATAAAAAAGCAAGGACTACAGTTTGCCAAAATGTACTTGAGTAAGCCAAAAGCCTTCTGGGGAAAACGTCTTGTGGACAGATGAGACCAAGATAGAAGCTTTTCGGTAAAGCACTTCATTCTACTGTTTACCGAAAACGGAATGAGGCCT